TTTAAAAATGGCGGCGCCGGCTTTATGCTAATGAAGCCCGGGAAATTCAAATCCCGGGCTTCATTAGCAAGTTCGGTATGCATACATTACCCCCCTAGTTCGAAATAAGGGGGTAGTGTTTAAAAATGGCGGCGCCGGCTTTATGCTAATGAAGCCCGGGAAATTCAAATCCCGGGCTTCATTAGCAAGTTCGGTATGCATACATTACCCCCCTAGTTCGAAATAAGGGGGTAGTGTAGACATACCCTGAGAGACCCAGAAGGGGAGAAAAAATACCCAGCCTCACTAAGGCTATGTCTACACTATGTTTTTTGTGGAAGAGGTAAAGCAGTTCTCACAAGTGGTGTAGCAGTCACTCAAAATAACTTCAAGAAATATTCTGCCTTTGTTAAATAACAAACTCAAGTTTTTAGGCTCACTGAGACTCACAGAAGAGTACAGGTCGAACCTCCTGTCCAGCACTCTTTGCGGTCCGGCATAATTTTAGTGAGCTGGATGTCCATTTATCGGTGTGGCCAAGTTTCCCGCTACAAGTCCTGGCTATTATTTACAGCCACAAGTCCTGGCTCAGTGTCCAGTGCTGTTATTTAGCTCTAATTTACCCCTAAATGTCTTCTAAGAGCCCAGTAAGCAGAGGAAGTGTTGGTAATGCTGCTAGACACTACTGACCTCCATGGGTGGTTGGCTAAGGTTGGACTGGAGGAGGCAGGCCCCCAGCCCCACCTACAACCTGCCTTTTCTGCTGAGTCCTTATCTCCCCATCCCAGGGAAGGGAGGGACAAGTACACATGTCTCGCCTCTGGCCTGAAGCACCAGAGAGGGAGGAGGGCACACGACTCCAACCTCCTTGGCCCCGGAGCACAGGGACGGCAGGCGTTAGGGGGCAGTAACATTCCGCCCTCAGTATGCCTAGAAGCAGGCGTTCTGGGGGCAGAGTGTGGATAGGGCCATGCCTGGCAGTTTGGGAAGGTTGTGCCTTCTCCTGCCTAGGCTACCAGACACCCATGCAG